AGATATTAAACCAAACCCGATCTTGAAACTATAAAGTTAGCTATTCAAAGAGGAAGTTGCTAAATTACATGCTCAGTTTCTCAATTTTGTTTTTTTGGAAGAAGGTGTCCATTGCCGACATTAATAACTAGACTACGAAGCAAAGGACAAGTTATAATTGTCGATATTAATCATCTAGCTGGTTACGAAGTAGTAAAGATTTAGAATTAAAAAGTTTATTTACTCTATAGTCTCGGATTCAAATTCTTATTTGTTCATACAAGTAACTAGGTCAGTGATATTTGATTACATAGATAAATGACAGATATACAAAATGTCATAACAATTAAAATAGTTACTTTAAAGTGTTTTATGTTAAAATATATTTTTTATATTAATATATTAAAATAAAAAATAATTTTAAATTCAATTTTTTTTTCAAAATATGATTAAACCATAACACAAACAGTATAAAAATCTTTACTTTTATTATTCTAACTGGGTTTGAGCATGAAAGTTCAAAAAGTCTCCCCTTTTATTTTCTAAAAGCTTGACTTAGGCTTGTAACTAAAAATAAATTTGGTTATTCGTATATTATTTCTTGTTGAAATCGAAGATAATGCAGGAGTTTGAAAATATATATATATTATGGTATATGTTTATAGGAATTATTCTTGTATTTGAGTAATATATATTTTTTATTTGGTTAATAATTCATAATAAAAATAATATAAGAAAAAAATCCATTTGTATTTAAAATAATTTTTGAGTGAATTCAAGTATTTTTAAAATATAAAATATAAAGAAACAAGTATTTTTTTTATCTTACTATTTTCGTATCCTCTATTTCTAAACAATAACAAAGTAATAAAATCATCTATAAGAAGTTAATCTTGATCATCCCTAAAGAAAAAACACCTGAAACAAAAAGGAAAAAAAAAAAAAAGATCGTGAAATTTTTAATTTCATTGCAAGCAATACCTGATACTCCCTCCATCTTTTTAGAAGGTGTGCGGAAAAAAAAATGTACATGTGTTATGCTATCATTGCATGAGGCCAAGTGATTGCATTTGTCTGTCTCCCAATCACTCTCTACGGATAGTTAGCAGGCGCAATCCAGTGTTGTGTCTGAGTGTCAGCTCTCTGCTCTCTCAAGAGTCAAGACCCTCTTGAATTTGAGATATTTTCCAGGAAATGACGATTATGTCCTTCATCAACAGAGCTTCAAGAGCTCTCCATGGCTATCCTGCTTCCTCTAAGCTTCTTGTTCTCTTCACTCTCAGGTTGGTGATGTACTTCTCCTTTTTCCTAGTGTTTCTTTTCTTCATTTCTCCAAAGAAAAGTGAGAAAACGTGAATTTTTAAAGATCTCTTTAGTTCTTTTAGTAGCTTTTATTAAACAGACAGACCCTTTCAAGTTGTTCACTTGGAATGTGTGAAAGGAACACTGTTTATCCTTTTGGTTGCTGAGAAAAAGCATAAGGTTTATATCTTTTATGAAAAAGGGAAAAAATTCGCAATTTGGGTTCATTCTTTTTTCTTAAAGAAAACTAGATTACTTAGCAAACAAAAGGGTCTCGAATCTTTGAATTTCTC